TATATAGTGAGCTTCTAATAAATAATAACTGTCATTATCATCTCTTAAAGGCTAAAAGGAATTTATCAATAGTTTGCATTCTAACACTTACTCAGATATAAAATATACTATGAAGTATTGGGATAGCTATTGTGTTTAGGTGACTATTCCACAAAATTCTTTTCATAGCCCTCTGACTCCTGATACTGAGCCTTTTAACTCAAAAAGATTTACTTTTGGAAACTTCAGTGGGTAAGTTAAAAATCACCTTTGGGTTTAAGTGCAATATATAACACCTTTTAATATTTCCTTTCTTCTTAGAGCTAATGTGAAATAGAATGCATTAAGGAAAACTTGGAATTCTGTTTCTACAATTTAAAAAAATTCCTAATGACTGGAATTATTTCTTCAGTTTTTTAAATCCCTAATGCCCAGCAAATGGCTGACACATAATAGGCAGCGGTAAATGTCTACTGAACTGAACGAAACTGAGTTCTAAGCAGTTATTATTTCACAACCTGTTTTGAATTCATCTCTTTTGCAGCTACCCTAATTTAGGCTTGTAATTTTTTTTGTGCTTTGCGTATTACAGCAGTTTTTGAATGGCTCTTTTTGCTACTTGTCTTTCCCCCCTTGAACTGATCTTCCACAGTACCACCAAACTAGGCAACGACTATTGTACTGGGCAACAACTACTGTGTTCTATTTCGTCTTCTTTATCTTTGCCCCATTGCGTACTGACCAATAGCCATATTTTTAATTCATTGTTTCCCAGCTTTTTATAGCATGATTCACTTAGAAAATGATGATATTTATGTGATACACTAGGGTAGTTAGCAAGGCCAGAGGTTTTGGATTCTAAGGGCTAAGTCACCCTCTCAGTACAGTTGTCACTTAATTCAGGCACACTAGTATGCCCTGGTATACTTATTGGGAAGCTGTGCTTAATCTAGCATTTTAGACTTGTTGTAGTTGGGAATCATTCTATCTTTAACGTAGATATTTAATGAGCACCTTTTGTGTGCATGCTGAGCTCTTGAGGAAAGGAATTGAGCATCATATCAAGTATTCTCCTACACGAACCCTCAGTTCCAGGCAGACACACATCTGGATACTGGCCTCCAAATGGGCCTTTGCTATTCCTCTCATACCTTTGCTCATGTCTTTTACTGTTTCAAATAGCTTATATTTCCTTCGTCATCACTCTGAATCTTCCTACTGTTTTCTCCACGATGCTGGCCCTTATACGGTTAAAATATGGCAGTTTTATGTGTTGTATTCTTTTTCATTTCATTACATCATTAACTCATTCAAGTTTGGTGCTCTCTTTAAAGCCTAAATTCTTTCTTTATTTTAATTCTTATTCACTTTCTATCTTATATTTGTCAATATTTTCCCTTTATGCATGTTCCTATTGTTCTTATCATGATATTTATGCCAATCCATCTCCCTACAACTTTATATCATATAAATTTTGAGAAATATTTAATACCATTACAGTAAATATAAAATAATATTCATTGTGCTTAGATGTTTATCAGGTAATAGCAAATGTTTTTCAGACTCATAGTTGGACCAGGCATTATTTTAATAGCTCTGTGTGTATTTGATATATTTAATCTTCACAGCAGCCTATAAATATAAAATATTTTTGTATCTCCACTTTACAGATGAGGAAATTGAGACATAGGTAAATTAAATAACTTGCCAAAAGTTGTACAGTACTAAGTGTCAACACCAAGATTGAAATGTAATCAGCTAGAGCAGGCAGTGTTGACACAAGAGCTCACACTGACAACCACTGTGTAATACTGTGCTGCAGAAGAACCAAGTTCTATGTCTGAGAAGACCAGTAGGTACTTCTACCTAACGCTGGACATTCCCATTAAGGTGGGCTAGGCTTCATTACAGATAAGAAAAGAAATTGTAGTTATAAGAAATATACAATCTAGACAGTATGATTTTGTACAATCAGCAAGTGGTTAGTGACAGAGAAATCAAAAATTAATAAGAATATTATGTATGGAGCATCAACTGTATGTGTCAAGAAATGAATTGGGTACTTTACATATATTGTTTCATTGAGGCCTTACCATAACACTATTGAGTAGTTGCTATCATCCTTATTTTAGAGATGAGGAAAAAGAACCTCAAATAGGTAACTCTTCCAAAAGTTACTGAGCTTGGAAGTGACAGAGCTGAGGTTGAACCTGGGCACGTCTGCCCTCTTTCTTTTCACTGTGCTGTACTGCTGCTCTGATGGCAGGGCTGTGGCAGAAGGGCCAGAGACAGGCAAGCAGGCTATTGTTAGAAGGTATTCAGAGCTGTGCTTAATTTTGGAAAACAGTACTGTGATAATGGAGCACTTTTTCCTTCAAATTAGAATTTGAGGAAGGTATAAAACCAATATTCTGTTTGGTTTTGCTAAACTATTACTTTGTGATCCTGGCTAAGCTTCTTTCCCTTTTTGTGCTTTCTCTCTCTCTTGTCTAACATATAGGTGGTAATAGGCATCTATTTATATCTAAAGATGTTTTATGATGTTAGGAGTAGTGTTCAGACTCTGGAAGTAAGTACTACAGAAATAACTATTTTTCAGTTCTTGGTGTGAATATTGATGTTTGATACCACCATGTTTTTCCTTTATAGCACCACACTTTTACTTTGCTGTTTCATTTTTTTCCCCTCCTGACACCAACTTAGAGATTTGTTCATAGAGAACTGACACTGACAATGACAACTCTTCATTGTACCTCCACAGCTTAGGCTTCACATGCTGTTTCTTCTCTGTCTTTAATTAAACTTGTTTTTTTCAGTGCTGTAGCTGGGAGCACTGTGTTGACACAACTCATTCTTGTACAGAACAGATTAAAATGTCAGTGCTCTAATGTTCTCATCTGTGGGAAAAAGAAAATATTTGGGATATTTTATTTATAACTTTTAAAATTCTCCTCTGTGGAGAACGATTACTTGTAGGCTGGAAAGCCACTTGACAGTTAAAGGGACAGAACTCTATTTAATATTAGACTAACACAAAAGAGGGGAAAAGTGTAAAAGCTTACTGAAACTCTTTTCTGGGGATTAGAACACATCTTTCTATTTCCTTCTTAATTTTCATGTAATTGTATCTTTTAATTCCCTAGTGTTCTGCTTAATCCTTCCAGATGCTGCAAGTGCAGAATATTGACAGTTTCCGCAAAAGGCAGTCAGTCAGTCATTACAGTAAACACATACGTGATGTTGAAGAGGGCTGCTAAGCAAGGGAAATGGAGTGGGTGTACTGAGCCTGGAACCTTCACATCTTAAGTCTGAATGCATCTATTTTTCACAACGGAGTCATTGATATTTGCTAGCTATTTATTGGTGAGTAGGCCGGCAAATCCACCACACCACAGCTTGAGACTTTCTGCCTCTCAGGCATTCCCAGGGTATAAGCGGCATCAGTTAACACTGGGTGCCATGCAAATGTTAGGAATCATAGTAAAGAGATAGGCTTGCTGCAGATTGATAAGGTAAGGACTTAGTAAGAGGTGCTAAGACTTATGAAACACTTGTATGTATCTGAAATATGTATAAATATATGCATTGATATACTGACTGTCTAACTGCACAGCTCAACGAACAGGTAATATTATTTTCACTTTACAGATGGCAAACCAAGGCCTGTAAGTGTAAAGTAACTTGTCCAAGGCAACACAGGAAATGAAGAAGCTGGATTTGAATCCAGGGAGTCTGGCTGTATAGCCTATTCTAGTAGAGAATTTCTGAAAGTTTATAAACTTTTGATATTTGTACAGTTTGGGGGCTTTTACACTCTGGTGACATTGTTAAACCAACACATGATATTGAGTAGGTGAAGAAGATAAATATTAAAATGGCAAGGAAAGTCCTTTCTTATGTTCATGTGCTAGGTGGTGGCCAGGAAGATTTTGTAGTCTTCTTTGGATATATCTTAATTGGGAAAGGAATTATGAATTGTTCTGGTTGCCCATATAAAGGCAAAAGGTAGCTTTCCAGAAAGGCAGGCATTAGCATTCCAAGTGCCCACTCCATACTCCTGGTTTTGGAAGTTAGCTGCCCTCTAGCAGAGCATCTGCTTTTCAGACCTTATTTAGAAATTTGCTTGATTTGAGTTGTCCCTTGGGTTAACAGCTGTGGAATCTGTATTTCTTTGGCATTGCTCTCTTCTATGTAAATTACAGATGTTCTCTAATGCCCTTTTGGGCTGCTTTTAGAAAAAGAGGAAAGATTAAAAGCTTTTTTTCTTTTTAAAGGACTCTATCCTACGTTCTAAGTAGGAAGAAATATATTTACTGAATTTTTCCCCATTTATGTTACCATTCAATCTTTGAAACTGTTCCCTGCAGCCCTGCTGCTATGGGATCAATTTGTTGGCAAGGGTTATTCAAACATGAGCAGAATTTGTGTCCTCTTTGGATTAAAGTGCTAAAGCCAACAATAACAATTTTCATGTGGGAACTGGGGCTCAATATCCAAATCAGACTATACTTGGTGGTCTGTAATTTACTCCAGATTAAAAACAAGCATTAGAGGGGAACAAGGGTCTTTTCCCAGGTTTTTGTTTTCATTTCAGTCTTTTTGTTACTTTTTTAAACGTGTTTTAAAATAGAGTGTTGTTCTAGAGGTACTTTTTTGCCTCTTGATTTGGGGTTGGGAGGGGTAGGGTACTTGAACTGAGGCAGATAATAGACTTCTTTTTTAAAAAATTAACATTTATATTAAGATATAATTTACAAACAGGTTAAGTGAACAAATCTGCCGAATACAGCTTAAATGAATTTTTGCATATGTGTGACTCATTTCTCTTTTCTCTACTTCCATTTTATTTAACTTTTACACTTATCCCTTATGGTTGGAGGAAAAAATCACATAATCTTGAAGACTGCTATACTTAGTTTAGATTTTTGGATTTAACTTTATTTGGATCCCTAGTATTGTGTGTTTGTCTGTGTCTCCAATTTAGTTTTCCTCTTACTTTTTCAACAGTTATTTCAACTTTGTCACTTTCCTTGGGGTTTCTTTTTCACTATTTACTTTTACTTTCAGCATGTGACCTTACCTCTATTTTAACAGGAAAGTGGAGGCATTCAGGAAGGGGCACCCTTATCTCCTGGTAGCCACCTTATTGCTCCTCTGTATTTATATACCCTTATCTATTCTTCCTGTCTGAAGCTAAGCTTTTGTCCTCTTTTATCTTCTCAGTGATTAAAAGGGGATCAGGTTATTCCCTTTTATCTCCTTTAGCTTCTCTGTTGATTTCTACTCAGTATGTATGCATGATTGAGACTTCTCAATTAAAGAAACAAACAAGATAACACAAAGTTTGCCCTTGACTCTAAACCACCCTCTAGTTGCTATCCAACCTTTCTCCTTCACCTCATGGTTAAGCATCTTGAGTCTTCTCACTGTTTCCACTTCTAATTTCTCATTTGCTCTTCCTCAACAGTAAGATGGCTTTTCACTTCTCTTTCTTCACTGAAACTGCCTCTGCCAAAATCACCAATGACTTTTATCAAATCCAGTAAATACCTTTTTTCCCTTTTAGAAGCTTCTTCTTTGATATTATTTTCTCTGCTTTTCCTTTTTCATCTGTAATCCTTCCACAAACTGCTCTTGGGAACTCCAGTTATTCTCCCCATCTCTTAAATGCAGGAATTTCTCCACGATTCTGGTTTTTATCTGGCTTCCATCTTATGCATTTTGTGGACAATTTGGTCCACATACACAAGGTTTTAGTTATTGCCTATACCTCCTATATCCTGATACTTACTGTATTTTGAATCTTTCTCTTGATCTCCAGCTCTCAGATTGACAAATTGTACTTGTAATTGTAAATATCACAGGCACATATGAAAAACTGACATTATCATCTTGCCTCAGCATGTCCCTTCCCCAAACTAAACCTACTTCCCTTTTATTCTCTGTCCTAGTTGGTGGCACCTTCTGCATCCATTCTTCAGTTTAAAAGCTATTTCTTTCTTCCTTTCTCCCTCCCTCCCTTTCTTTCCTTTCCTTCTTTCCTTCTTTTTCTGTGCCAGGCACTAAGTTCTGGAATACAGAGCTACAAAGACATTATGAGATAAGGTCCCTGCCCTCAATCATAGAGACTAGTGGATAAGATAGACACGTGAACAGAGAATTAGATTACAATGTAGTAAATATAATGGCAGAGGTGTGTACTGTGTGCATTTGTAACACAAAAAGGAACATAGAACTCAAATTGTGGATTCAGAAAAAGCTTCTTAGAGAAGGTGATGCCTGAAAGAGAAAAAAGAGCAAGCAGGGAAAAATTAAATAGTAAAAATTAGAGTGGAAATTAATGAAATAAAAAATATTTTTAAAAGGAAGAGAAAAATCAACAAAACCAAAAGTTTACAAAAGATTAACAAAACTGATGCACCCTAGCTAGAATGACCAAGAGAAAAAGAGAAGACTTAAATTACTGTAATCAGAAATCAAAGAGGAAATATCACTATTGAACATACAGAAAGAAAAAAAGGAGAAAATACTATGAACAATTGTAAAACAACAAATTAGATAACCTGGATGAAATGGGCAGATTCTTAGAAAAACAAAAACTACTTCTTGAAACTGGTTCAAAAAGGAATAGAAAATTTGAAGAACCCTGCATAACAGGTAAAGATATTGAATTAGTAATTTAAAAACTTCCCACAAGCCCAGACCCATTTTCGCTAGTTTTGTTTTACTACACATTTGAAAAAGAATTAATTCTGTTTTTACAAACTCTACCAAAATTCAAGAGAAGGAAGCACTTTCCAACTTATTTTATGAAGCCAGTACTGCACTAATAACAATACCAAAGGCATCACAAGAAAACTCAAGACCTGTGTCTTATCTATTAATATAGATGAGAAAATCCTTGACAAATACTAGCAAACTAAATCCAGTAGCACATAAAAAGAATTATATATGACAACCAAGTGAGACATATCCTAGGAATATAGGAATGGCTTAACATCCGAATCAATACATACCCATATTAACAGAAGGGCAAAAATCACATGATCATCTAAATAGAGAAAAAAATCATGTCAAAACGCAATACCCTTTCATGATTAAGAAAACACTGAACAGTCTAGGAAGAATAGAAGTTACTCAACCTGATAAAAAAAAAACTAAGAAAAATACATAGCTAACATCATACTTAATGGTGACAGACTAAATGCATTCTTCCAAGAAAAGGAAAAAAACAATGTCCACTCTAACCACTTTCATTCAACATTGTACTAGAAGCTCTAGCCAGGGTAATTAGGCAAGGGAATAGAATAAAAGGCTGTGTGAATTATATATATTTGTGTATATATATGTATATATTTCCACCCTTTTACTTTCAACTTATTTAAAATGTATCTCTTGTAAAGAGCATTATAACTAGATCTTTTTTTTTAAATCAAGTTTGACAGTCTCTGCATTGTCTGATTTATAATAGTATGGTTGTGCTATAAATTGTTGGTGGTGCTTCACTGCCTAAGGAAACCCCCTAAATACAGTGATACTCATGGAAACTTCATATTGAATACTTTATGATTTTCTTCTTCTTCCTCTTCCTATTTTAGCATTTGAATGCTGCCATTGTTAGATACAGACATAGATATGGATGTAAAGCCAGTATACCTCATATATCATGTAGGTTGTCTGCTTAGCAAAAAAAAGTTAAGTCATCTAATTGGGTTTGAAACCAAGGGTGTTCATTGTTAGTGGTTGTTGGATCACATTCCTCTGAGTCAGTAAAGTGTAGCATATGTATTAGAATTAAGCAGGACTTTTTTCCTTTAGCAAAAATTTCTCTCTTCTAACCCTAACAATGTTAGAGTTTTAGCTTTGGATTTGCCAGGAATAACTTAACTTTACATGGATAATTAACCAGATTGAGTAACAGTGCAAAAGAACATAACTTATTTCCACACAGTGGTAATAATAAAACTGTTACTAATTTTGGAATTCTGCATTATTTCCATAGTAGGATATGTCTTAATAAGGGAGTGATTTCCTCTCACTAACTTCAGGTCACACCAAGATACCTGCTTCTGCATGAAGAGGGGTTAACTTCTTTTCTTTTCTTTTCTTTTCTTTCCTTTTTTAACTTTCTTTTTTTTTTTTTTTTTTTTGAGAGGGAGGTAATTAGGTTTATTTATTTAATGGAGGTACTGGGGATTGAACCCAGGACCTTGTGCATGTTAAGCATGCGCTTTACCACTGAGCTATATACCTCCCCCCAACTTATTTTCTAAGCTAGGTAATTTTTCAGCATAGGATGTTTAGGTACATATTTTTTTTCAGGCTATAATCTAGAATCTCTCAGTAAGAAAGGTAAGGTTGAGAATTCCTGCTTTGGTTGACTCAGTGCTTTACAGCCTGAACTGTTCCTTGGGGCAAGCTATTTCTCAGTTCTATTTTTCTACGTATATTCTGAAAATGATAATTGTAACACCATAGCTTTGAGGTAACTTAACTGCTATATCCCACCTATTTAAAAATCAAGGATTTGGGGTAGGGGAGGTACTGGGGAAGAAGAGTAAAAATGTAATTGAAAAATTTTATAATCCAGACTTCTTTTTAGTGACATTTAAAAATAAAACTAAAAAAGGAGTTCCTGGTGATATTTCTAGGTTTCTATTTAATTTCTGGTCAAGAATATTCAATATTCCATCAGTTTCTTTGCATTTTTAAAATAAAAGGCCATCAAAG